GAAAATACATTTTAATATGAAGAGAGATATAGAGATTTGAGGAGGCACTGGGTAGTGGCAAGGAACCAAAAAGAGGATCCCTCTCTGGAAAGAATGCCCAAGGATTCTAAAACTGTAGTGGGATACAGTCGAATCACGCATTGAACTGATTTCTGATTGATGAACAGTCAAGAAACACATATGCGTACGCACGGTCGCCCTTGTCTAGACCTCTCAAAACAGATTAGACTACAAGCGCAGCAGCATCTAGGGTACTGCATCTAGCCTTATATTCGAAATGAGAGGGTCGGAGAAACTGAAGGAGCTGTTAATCCACGGTCCGTTTTAAACTCTTTCTTCACCGTTGTCACAAATACATGTGGGAAAACACACGGCAGTAGGGAAATTTCGCATGAGAGAAGATTTGAGTCGTTGGTAGTAAAGACAACATTTTCATTTAGAAAATGTTGATCAGCATTCACATGTGTTAGTGTAGTATTCCGGCCAAGTAAGGCACTAAATATCCATCGACGGTAAAGCACAGGAGTGACAGGTCAGGGCGGTTCATTTTGTCTTAAAATTTCAGACGTTACTAAAATCTTCCGGCAGGTCTTACCATATGGGCATCAAGAGGGCGGCAAATATTAAAAACTTCATTTAAAAATATTGTTCTCGAACCCAGAGCACGAGTCGACGTTTGATTGAGAAAGTGGGGATGGTGTAAGATAGATAAATCTATAGTAAGCACATATTCTGTAGGAATATTTTTTGAACCTTAGATTTTCTCCCAGGTCTAGTTACCAGCGCACGCTAAGAAGAAGAATAGACTTTCCGAAGACCACATAACAGTCGATCTCCGTTGTCTTCCGTGGGTGTTCACAGCCAATGTATATTTCACCGTTGTTTATAAACAGTCAAGGTTATCGGTTCAAAAATTTGATGAGATCTGCCGTCTATGAAAACGTATCCGACGCAGTCCCTTCTTTCTTATAATCAATTGGAATTGGCCTCGCTCACATAACTGAGTCGACAATAAGGCGTCTGCTGATGAGACCCACTGAATTCCTGTCGGGAGGCGAAACGACTTATGTTGTCTGTCATGCCTGTCACAGTTCTCGTAAGGCGAACGACTTCGAGGAAACCGGCAAATGAGTGTAAAACCGCCTGGGTAAAAATACAAATGCAGTGGGAAGGCTAGTTAACCTCTCGCTGGTGGTGGAAAGTGTGCAAATTTGGCCTTTCGAAGAACGCCAAAATCTTCGACCGAGATATCAACTGGGTACCAAGAGAGACACTCGCAGAATGACTTAAGATAGAAAATGCCATTAAACGCTACTCGAGTGGTCAGTCTTCTTACTGGGCCTAAAACTACTAGATCCAAAAAACAAAAGGTGCTCGCGCGGAAGGGGTCGAACCTAGGCGTGTAGTCACAACCGGCTCGGATCCCATGGTGTGGGATTTCCATAAAAGACGCATTAGTAAGAGGCCATCGCAGCCTGACTCTCAGACCACTAGCCGGCCGCCCCGCACAAATAGAGAAAACTCAGGCAAATGTAAGGTTCAAGTTATCCTGTCAGATGGCAACCTTCCAAGCCACGACTTTTAGCGCGTCGTCGTAGCTTCAAATGCATCAAATTGTTTAAATTGAGGAATATGCGCCTAGCCGTCGACTTAACTCTCCCTGGCCGTGACTAACATATCGAGCAACCTTGTCTGCGCACGCCACGTGCATGACCTGGCCCCACAAACACATGCGCTGAAGTTTCACACGGCGTGGTTAGGCGGCGTGCATCTCGCATGCGGGAGAAAGGCGTAGGTTAGGTTAAGAAAGAGCCTTTTCGCTTTGACTTTCAACTAACCAGTCCACCACTCCACACAAACCCACCCACCCACACCCACCCACGCATATGACAGTTCGACCATCGGTTTCGATGATGTCTACCGTGTGCCCCACAGTTGCAGCGGAAATGGGAGCAAAGACGGTGACTTACGCAGGAGTTTATAGTGCCGGTAGCATTGCGTAGCATCTATCTACACACTCTCCTCATCCCTCGCCCGAGCCCGCTGTCAAGACAGAGTCAAGAAGACCGGAGATGATTGGGGCCGCAGGTGGATGGCTCGGACGGATCCTGACCTTGGCGTTCCACCACACCCCCTGGTCCACACACATGATAACCTTATACCCTCGTGATAAACGGCAGAGTCTCCGATAGTCCTCAGTTTTATGAACGGTTTTCGACCGATACATGCAAAATGACGAGTTGCGGATGGTAGACGACTCGGTCGCTAAAACGCCCATGCGTTTCACCTTCGAGCTCTCTATTTCTGATGGATCTGAATGTGCATCTGCAATGTCCAGGAAATAATGCCCTTGTTTAAGTGCTTGAGTCCAATTTGTTTCAGATGTCTGACTGTCCACACAACAAATGACCACGATTTCAACCAACACAACAGGAATTTGGAGGCTGACACGGCCGAAGCTGCACCTGTGCATGCCGCCAACGCCTGGCTCGGATCCCACACTGACCATGAATGCAGGGGCCACGGCACGACCTGGCCCCCCACACACACAACACCGGGATTTCACACAACGAGGGTTGAACGGCGTGTCTCTCACTTGCCTGAGAGGACCGTGGAAGGTTCTGTTTCAGCCCGTCTCCAGCCCACCAGTCCGCCACTCCACACAACACACAACGCGACGAACTGCGTGAACCGAGAGCGGGCGTCAATCAGCAACCTTCCTATCCACGACGCTGGACGTGTCGGGATAGTCTCAGGCTCAAGTCACCCCTGCAGCCGAAGCCGCATGGGGACCGAGTCGCGATGCGTACTTCCCTCTTGCGTGGGAGGTGGCAGTTGGGTGCATGAGGTGTGTGAGTGGTGATTTCTGGTGGGGTGATGGTGGTGGTGGTGGTGGTGGAGGTAGGGAGTGAGTGAATGTGTCGTATAACCGGGGATTGTCTACCGCAGGTCATCGTGGATGCGCACGTGGCCGAATAGGCCCATGCGATGCCTGAAGATGCTAGGGCAGTGTGGGCAGTTGAGGCGAGTGCGGTGGGTGTGGATTGGTGCTTCAGGCACTGACTCGCCAGTCTCTGTGCGATGGATTCGCAAGTGACCGATTAGGCCTATGTGTGAAGTGAAGGTGCGGTCGCAGTGAGGGTAGGTGTAGTCCTGATCCTCATCGCTGGAGTCGGGGGAGGAGGTGTTAGTGTCGGTTGTTGCGTGGGGGACAGTCGCCTGAGCGGCCGTCGTTGGAGCAGTGGGCGAGTAGGAGGAGGAGGAGGAGGAGGAGGAGGAGAAGGAGGAGGAGGAGAATGGAAGTGATGGGTTATAAGAATTGTCAGAGTTAGTTGGCGGCGGAGAGGAGGCGGAAGAGGCGGGCGGGGGGAGGATAGTTGGTGCAGTTCGAGAGGCGCAGTTATTCCGAAGATGTCCAGCAAGTCCGATTCGAGCCCGGAATGTCCGTTGACATCGAGGACACGTTGGAAGCGGTTGTGCGGCGGCGTTGCGTACTGGGAGAAGTTGTGATTCGCGGGCTTCGCGTTGCGCTTTGGCGGCCGCGATGCGGTTGGCTTCGTAGATCGCAGCGCCTGTCTTCACTGTCCTCCTCCAGGTCGGTCGATTGAGTGCGAGCTCCTCGCAGTCGATGGTATTGATTTTCAGGCGTTTCAAGGAGGACTTCAGGGTATCCTTGTAACGGCGAATCTGGCCTCCTTGACGGCGAGAAGCCGTCGCGATTTCTCCGTAGAAAAGTCGTTTGGGTAGTCGCTCGTCGTCCATGCGCACCAGGTGGCCGCTCCAGCGCAGCTGAATTTGCCTCAGTATGGCGTAGATGCTGAGGATTCCCGTCCGTTCCAGCACATCAGTGTCGGGCATTCGATCTTGCCACTTCAGCCTCAGGATTCGACGAAGACAGCTGAGGTGGAAGTGGTTCAGACGACGTGCCTGCTTTGCGTACACCGTCCAAGTCTCCGCTCCATACAGTAGTGTCGGCAGGGTGACGGCCTTGTACATTTTAGCTGCGTGCTCAGCTGAAGACCGTGGCGATTCCAGACTGTGCTTTGGAGGCGACTGAAGGCTTGACTATCTTTCGAGATCCTGTTGACGACTTCGTCGTCAATCTTCGTGTTGCGGGAGAGAGTATTGCCCAGGTAGGGGAAGTTCTCCAGAACTTGCAGTTGGGTTCCGTTCACGCTGATTTGCGGCGGCGCGTTGGGGGCTGTGACCGAGTGGGGTGGCGGTTGGGGCATCACCACCGTCTTCTGCGTGCTAATGACCAGACCGAAGTTCTCGCAGGCGGCGGAAAACAGGTCCATGCTCCGTTGCATCTCCTCTTCCGAGGTGGTGTTCAGGGCGCAGTCGTCGGCGAAGAGGAGTTCGTGAACGGTGGTTATGGATACGCGCGATTGGAAGTGCATCCGCCGTTAATTCAGCAGGTGACCGTCCGTCCTGTAGGCGATGCGGATCCCGGGGCGTTCGTCGCGGTAGGCGTCCATCAGCATGACAGAGAAGATAAGACTGAAGAGGGTAGGCGCCTGTACGCAGCCCTGCTTCCCTCCATTGGTCACTGCAAATGCCTCTGTCCGTGACTCGCGCCATCATACCGTCGTGCAGCTGACGCACCATCTGTGTGAATCGTTCCGGACAGCCGAATTTCTGCGTGATCTTCCACAGTCCTTCACGATTCACCAAGTCGAAGGCTTTCGTCAGGTCCACGAAGGTTGAGTACAAGTGGGCCCGCATCTCCTGGCACTTCTCCTGTAGTTGGCGGGCGGCGAAGATCATATCCGATGTCCCACGATGACGACGGAAGCCGCATTGGCTTTCCGGCAGAAGGCCCTGTTCCAGATGGTTATTGAGGCAGTTGAGAAAGATGCGGCGAGGATCTTCACGGCGATGTTCAGCAAGGAGATGCCGCGGTGATTGTCGCAGACTCGGCAATTCCCGTTGCGCTTGTAGAGATGCACGATGGTTGCGTCTTTGAAATCTTGCGGGACTTCACCCTGACGCCACATCTCTTAGAAGAGCGCAGTCAGGTGATCCATCAGTTGGGGACCTCCGTGCTTGTAGACCTCAGCAGGTATTGCGTCCGATCCGGGTGCGTTCCCGCTGGAGAGCTTCTGCACGGCCCTGATGTTCTCCTGGAGAGATGGCGGGCGGTCGAGGTCCACGTTGGTCTCCACTTGCGGCAAACGCTCGATGGCGGCGTCGGAGATGGTGGAGTGACGGTTGAGGACGCCTCGGAAATGCTCGGCCCACCGCTGTAGGATTTGCGTCTTCTCAGTCAGGAGAGTGCTACCGTCGGCGGTGAGGAGAGGAGCAGTACCCTTCGTCGGCGGACCGTAGACAGCTTTGATCGTAGAGAAGAAGTTCTTCCATTCGTTACGGTCCGCGTACGCTTGGATCTCATCAGCTTTGCGAGCAGTCCAGGCGTCCTGCATCTCGCGCAGACGTTGCTGAAGTTGGCGGCGACTGCGGTAGAAGGCAGCTTTGGTGGCATCAGTGGAGTGATCTTCGTAGGCTTTGCGTAGGCGGTTCTTCTCAGCAAGCAGATTTCTGATGGCGGTGTCACTGTCTTTGAACAAGTCCTGGTGTTGGCGGGGAGCGCGACCGAGGAAGGCGAGCGCCGTCGACTGGACCGTGTCTCGCAGTTGACACCAGCGGTTCTCCACGGAGGCGTTCTCGGCAGCGGCAGCATCGGCGGCAGCAGCGATAGGAAGGTTGTTTGGCCGCTGAGCTAGCTCATTGCTGAAATGATGATGGTGAGCGGGCAAAGACAACAAGGCAACATTCAGCTTGCCTGGGTGTCGCTTACCTTGTGGTCTCCTGCTAGGCTGTAGGCGAATACGCATCTTCGAGATGACGAGGCGATGGTCGGTCCACCAGTCAGCACCCGCGATCGCCTTCGTCACCAGCACGTCCCGCTGATCTCGCCTCCGGACGAGGACGTAGTCCAGCAGGTGCCACTGGCGCGACCGAGGATGCCTCCAGGTGGCCTTCTCTCGCTCCGGCAGACAGAGGAAGGTGTTCGTCAGGATGAAGCGGTGTTCTGCGCAGGTGCGGAGAAGCAACAGGCCGTTGTCGTTGGAGCCGCCGAGACCGTGGGGACCCAGCATTCCTCTCCAGGCAGTATGGTCTGTGCCGACGCGGGCGTTGAAGTCGCCAAGGTCAATCAACTTGTCCGCCTTCGAAACAGTCGCCAAGAGGGCGTGCAGGTCCTCGCAGAATTTGTCTCTGACGCGTCGGGGTTGGTCATCGTCGAAGCGTAGGCGCTGATGATGGTGGCGAATTTGCCCCCACCCCGGAGAGGCAGACAGAGGCTCAGTAGGCGATCGTTGATGCCCTGCGTCAAACAGGGAAGTCGTCCCACGATGTCGTTCCGAATGGCGAAGGCGACACCCGCGTCCCGTCGCTATGCCCTGGGTCGACCGCTACAGAAGAAAGTTAGCCGGCATTCACCTCCTCTAGTTGGTCTTGTTCGAAGAATCGGGTCTCACTGAGTGAGGCGATGTCCACCGTGCCACTAGCACCGTCCTTTGTTCCGGTCGGTTGCTCCTCGGATTGGCTAAAAGGGAACGAACATTCCAGGTTGCCAGAGTGAGCGAACTCACCATGCCAGTCTGGTGACATTGAGTGGCGCGACGGGAAGGAGGTGGAGAAGAAGATGGCGAAGGAAAAGAGTAGGTAGAAGAATAGGCAGAGGAAGAGAAAGAAGAGGTAGGATGAGGGGGTGAGCGAGTATTGTTGTTTTTATAGGTATTGTTGTTTCGATTTTGATTGTTTCGACCATGTTTAGACGTCTGCAGTCCCGGCTAGACTGAAGACGGCGTGGTGCCCAGCAATTTTTAGGCCACCTTTTCTAGGCCCTTCCCCTCGCGGGGCTGGCAGTGCCATCCCTGAATAGGGCTGCCATGTGCCGTTGTGGCACGGCCGAACTCTACTATGGGATCACGACTTCGGGTTGTAGTGGAGAGCGACTCGAATTCGCCGTAAGCCTCGGTCTCCGACGGCGTAGATGGGCGCGTCAAGGCGATGTCGATGTGGAGATCCATCCCGTCACCGGCTGTCCAGCGGCGTGCAGAGACGAACCACGTCAGGACGGTGCCGACGCAAGGTTCCATCCGACCTTCCATCAAGCGGAATCTGCAAACCCTGTGTACACGGCACAGCGCAAAGGGCCCCCTTACCGGGTTTAGCCCGCCGGTCGAGACGGTTGCCCGGGGTGTGGCCGCTGAGCAGAGCCCAGTAACGTGGAGCCACATATGAGAGTTGAGTGCCAGCAAGTGAACGCTAGGCGTAGTCTCACCTGCAAGCAAGTAAGCGACCACCACGACCATCACGCGAACCCACCGCTGACACCCCTACACCAAACACACACGCATATACAGACGCACACACGCACACTGCGCGTACTGGATTGGGGGCGTCTGTCAGCAAAATGCCAAGTGCTCCCGTTTGACGCACAGTGATTGTCTTGTGGTCACGCATCTAACAAAGGAGCCGCATGGAGATGGAGAACGCGATTCACAATGCCCACTTGCGTGGGAGGCAGCAATTAGATGCTTTCTGTGGATGATACAGCTGCTGGGTGGACTGGAGAGAGGGCCCATAAGGCGCAGCGGAACGAGTAAGTTCCGTAACAACGATCAGTGAGCGCCCCCTCTACCAATTGCATGTCCCATGTGCAACGAAAATTGTAAAAGCGCTGACACGCGAAATTAATGCTACGTTGTTGGCCTTGGAGAACTCAGGTGTAACAGCGACTGAAAGACGCACGGCGAGACCCCCAGACACGGCTTTGGCCAGATTTTGTGGCCTCCCTAATGTGCACAAAGAGGTCGCTTCTCTTCGACCCATAGTGTCACTCAAAGGCACTCTAAAGTACGGATTAGATACGTGACTATTCCGGCGTCTCAAATTTCTGACCATTGATCCGGACACCACGGTCTGCTCGTCAATGCATTTCTTTCAGAAGCCTGAAGGTGTAAGTCTCTTGCCACACGAGGGCATGGTATCTTTTGCCGTCATGTCCCTTTTTACTTCTCTCCATCAGGATCTGGCAATGAAGATCGTGGAGCTACTCGTACAAGGCAAATACAGTAAGACGGAGAATCATCTTGGAAAGACCCAAGTTCTTCAGCTCCTGAAGTTCGGTCTTAGAACCTACTTCATTTTCGACGGGGCAATCTACGAACGGGTGAAGGGTACACCAATGGCTTCGCCGAAATTGGGATTTATCTCCAAGGCGATCCAGCGACGGTTAGGGTCGCTGGTCATCCAACGCCACAGACCGAAGTTCTGGGACCGATTTGTGGATGACACCTTCATCGTTATCGACCGGGATCAGTTGCTGACATTCAAGGAACTTCCGAATGTGGTCTTCCCGGACACATATTTTATGATGGAGGAGGAAGAGAACAACCAGCTGCCCTCCTGATTTCCCTCGTCTGTTGCGAATTTTGTGGTGGCGACAAATAAGACGCAAATATCAACTTCACCAGCAACCACCCAATCAGCCACAAAGGCGGTTGTGTATGGACGCTACATGAGCGTGTCGAAACGCAATGCAATGTACCGAAAGACATGGTTGCCGAACTTTAATAACTTCAACATGTTTTATGAGAAAATGTTCACGCGCGCAACTTCGGCACCCGATGATTGCGCAAACGAGACGAGGGAAGAAATCACAGCGACTCCAAATATTGGCGAGCGATCCCGTGCATCAAGAAGGTCTCCGAGGCCGTCAGTCGCCTTCTCGCACCTCTTGGGGTTGAAGTTGCACACACATAAGGTGTCAGAAGATGAGGCCAAAAGACCCACCGACATGACAAGAAGCCTCTTCAGTCTGGTGCATTTGCGAGCAAAGTATCTAATTCGGAGAAAGTAGAAGACTGCTCCGGACGCCTATTGCCGAACACGCGGCAGCGGTGCTGAGAAATGAGGCCAGCTCTCAAGTTGCGGCTCATTCGACGAGATCCGGCCACGCATTCACACTCGATGAGGCGAAACTCTCACGAGAGGGTATAATCACGTGAGCTGCAAGTTGCTTGAGTCATGGTTCATGGGACCTCAGTCCGTCAACAGGAGCAACGATATCCCCACTCCATATTCCGTTTCGGGGCATAGGCTGGCCAAAGTAATAAAGCACTCGGGGAGCGCGCAAGCCGGTGAGCCAGATAGCCGAGCAATCATCACGCTAGTATCCATCACGGGTTATGAGATTTCAGCAATTAACAACTTGCATGCTGGGCATCAAGCAATTAGCGCACCGACGGGCAACAATTCTTGACGTAGGGGAGAGCGGTTACTTAGCATAGGTATACAATAGCATAGCGACTGCATGCCATACGTACTGTAACTTCCTGTGCGCGAATAACCCGTTTCTGTCACTCTCTCTAATGATGGGTTCGAGCGAAAATCCGAAACGTCAGGCCAATAAAGCTCTTGTTCTAGCGATCGCGTCTACTTCTTATCAACCCAATCCTGGGACTTGCATCTTCGCATGTATGGACAGACTGACAGCCGATGCGTGAGAGTGGTGGACACCGAGATACGGTTAGCGTTAGGGTGGGGGGAAAGGTAGAACCGTTAGGGCTCCCGTGTTGGAGGTGAAGCAGGGACTGCGAAATTACGGATCAGTGGGGATGCGGGTGGCTGATAATTGACGCGGGGTGAGGCCAGGGGACAGTGCGCCGACGTTAAAGCTTTTAGGAGTTTCGGCTGTCGTTCGCTGTGTCACAACGGTCGGGTGGCGAGACAGCAGATTTATACGTAGCGGAGTAGAGATAAGCAGTTTTAAGGGCGTGGGAACAAGTACTTAAACCCTCGCAGTGCGCGTCTCTATCGACGTAGCGGTTGGTGCTGGTCCTGTCAGGATGCAAGCTTCGAGTAATTCTCGCGCCCGTCTGCTATTAGCGACAGCGATAACATGATTGGCAGAATAGTATTACCGACAAAGACAAGGGAGACTGGAATGGCCATTTCTGGCTTATTAGCCGTCGTCAGCCAGCCATACCCAAGCCCGAAGTGTGGAACACCCGAGCCTCGAACTCGCGACCTGTTGGTTTAGAAGTCAACGCCTCTACTCACCGGGCCACGAGCCCGTTGCCCGTTGCCCGTTGCGTCCCAATTGTATCAGTAGCCATACTGAAGGGTGTGCGCAAACACGAGGGACAGAGGATTACGTCGGCGGAGGGGCTAACTTGTGCTCATTAATGTGAGTCCCATGACTTCGGCCCGTATAGCCAATAAAAACACTAGGGCAGTGGGCGCACGAGAGAAGGTAGATGACATTAGTTAGATGTTCTTTGGACACCGGGTATTTTACTCTGCATAATGATCCGCGTAGGGAAGATGGGGACTTATGTGTGAGGCACATAAAAAAGCGTTTTAATTGTCGAGGGAGTTTTTCAGAAATTTCCTGAATGTACAGCAGTCAATATAATTTCCGCTGCACACAATCTCCTTAACAATTGGGGCTTGGTGATTTTTTTGGCGCCTAAGAAAATTTTCTACAAAACTGGCCGGGTATACGTTGGCCCAGAATAACCAATGCATGTTGGCTACTTCTTTCTCATATTAGTCATCGCTGTTGGAGATACGGTAGGTTTGCTGGAATAGAGTGAAAATACAGCCTTTTTATGGGTCGCAGGATAATTGCGCACAAAGTTTAGGATGATTTCTGCACTAGTCTTTTCGGTGGACGCTTGCGGCAGTTTGCCATCATTAAGCCTTTGTATACTCACATCTAAAAATGGGAGGGTATCTCCTGTTGCTTCTTCGTGAATAAACTGTATAACCGAGAAGTCGCTAATTAATTTCTGGTGCAATCACTCAAATTTGCTGGTTTTTATGATGACACATTTTCATTCTACCTATCGGAGCCACGTTTTCGGTTCAACCTTTAAATAACACACTGCACAAGTCGCTGTCACACAAGTTCTGCCAGCAGCCAGATATTTGTGATTTCATGGGGGTACCTACATATTGTTGGTCGTATTTTTCATCAAATTGGCAATAATTATTGAGACAAAGCTTTAGCAAAACTAGCATATACTGTGTTCGACTGCCTTTGTCATTTTCCCCTAGGCATCGAGCTACGCTCTCAATTGCGATATTGAAGAAAACAGGGCAACAACATCGAATGATAGGGTGCATTCCTCTGGACTATTGTTCTAACGGACAAAGGACGAGAAACCGTGATTTGGAACAGATCGGAGAACGTCGCAAAAGCGCAGGAACTACTAGAGGACAACCAGTCAAACAGAGTCATCGTCTCTGGCCCAATGAAAACAATGGTAGGCAAAATCAACAAGAGCTTAAGTCGGATGTGGAGCCAAAAGCCCAGATGCGGAAACTGTTGAAGACAAATGAGACCGCAAGATGCCTATCCAGAGCGTATCTACCGATTGCCAAAAATCCATAAGCCAAAAGTCCCCGTACGACAAATTGTAGCGCTGAAAGACACAACTAACCACGGATTAGCTAAATTTCTTACCAAGCACTTAAAGAAGCTGACGGAAGGCTCTGAGCACACAGCCGCCTCATCAAAGCACTTCCCGGAAAAAGTCCGAGATATGGAAATATTCACCGATGAGATCATGGTATCCTTTGACCTCATCTCTTTGATCACCTTTATCCCTAAGGAGTTGGCCAAGGTAGTCGTCAGTGACCTACTGGAACGCAAGTACGACAATGAAGGAAAACCTTTAAAATGAAGCACGCGATTGAATTTCTGGACTACTGCTAATGCATGTATTTAATTTTAGCGGCCATACTTATGAAAAAATC